ACACAGAGAGAGAGACAGAGAGGCACAGGCAGAGGGAGAGGGAGAAGCAGGTTCCCCATGGAGCAAAGAGCCCAATGCAGGGTTCAATCCCAGGACCCTGGGATCATGACCTGAGTCAAATGCAGACACTTAACCAACTGAGCCACCCAGGTGCCCCTATTCTCAATGTTTAATATGCATAACATTGGAAATGATTAAATCAACAAATATTTTACCCATTACTCTTAAGAGAATATATTTTTACATTAAAAATTCTAGAAAACATTTTTTCAGTAATTCCCATATTACCTGAAATTTATCTAATAGTACCCACTATCAGTTAAAATTCATAGTATATTAGAGTTAGAATGAAAATATTTTAGGATTTTCTCTTGATCACTAAAAGCAAATCAATGGAATTCCATTTCAATATGATATGATTATTAGAATTGCTTACAATAAATTCTGAAAACTTAAAATATTACCTGATTTTTACTTTCTTTTTAACTTGCATTCAGTTGAATGCCTTTTAAGATTTATTTATTTTGGAGAGAGAAAGAGAGAGAACAAGCCAGGAGAAGGGCAGAGGGAGAGAGCATATGGAGCAGACTCCCCACTGAGCACAAAGCCCAACGTGGGCTAGATCTCACAGCCCTGAGTTCATAACCTGAGCCGAAATCAAGAGTCTGAGGCTTAACTGACGGAGCCACCCAGGCGCCCCTCAGTTGAATGGCTTTAATGTAATAGATTTTCATATGATTCTTAGAAAAGAATAATCTGATAAGAAAAAATTTTGTAAAATGAAAACAGAAATAAAACGGTTTATAATATTTATGGTGTTCCAATTTCTACATAACCTTTATTTTTTGGTGTGTGTTGTATACATAAATTTATGAAATAATTGCTGTGTCAATAACCTGCAAATAGCAAATAATCAGACATCATTATTTAAGATTTATTGTTACAACTGATAAAATCATTCCTTTCTTTTTTTTAAAGTTTTGGAGTTTATTCATTCAAACCATCTGTTACTTGTATAAAACCTGAGTTCTACCTGTAATCTGTTATCAGGTATAAAATTGACTTCAGCAATTTCTTTTAAATGCCTACAATTCCACAAAACCTTGACATAACATATTTGTCCTTGGCCAGAAATACATACATTTTCCTAAAATTAATTTTTCATCACCAAGTTAATGACTTTTTGTGATAGCTTTATTATTTTCATTCTGATAAGTGATGTGATGATAGTCAAAAAGGTTAAGCGTTAATCTTAATAATTAAAAAAATGACATGTTAGTAATTGGATTTTGAAATACTATTTTCACCTCGTATCCCCAAATAGATACCCCACATGTTAAATCACATCATCTAAAATTTGATCCCTGGTGTGCCTGGGTGGCTCAGTCAGTTAAGTGTCCGACTTGATTTTGGCTCAGGTCGTGATCTCCCGGGGTCCTGGGATCCAGCTGGCGTCAGACTCCTCACTTAGCAGAGATTCTCTCTCTCCATCTGCCCCTCCTCCTCCACTTGCATGCACAGGCTCTCTCTCTCCCTCTCTCTCTGTCTCAAATCTTTAAAAATAAAATAAAATTTGATCCCATAGTTTATTATATTTAATTGATAAACAAGGTCTACTCCCAAGAATGTAATTTTTGTGTCCTGCTTTTCAGAAGCCAGAGCCTCTCTTAGATTTGGGAACAGAATATATCTACAATAATGATACAATTTTATATATATGAAAAAGCAGATTTTAGAAATATTTTATTAGAAAGATATTTAAATAGAAAGATTAAATAGAAAGATATTTTGAAGTCTAACATTTTTCTTCTTTTTGAAGTCTAACATTTTTAAGTTGATTTTGATTAAGTTGATTTCTCTTTTAGAATTTAAAATATCATGAAAAATACTTTATAATAGTCTAATACTAATCAATACTCTGCAGTCAAGCCATTTGGAACTAACAATGTAAAATAAAAATTTCCAATTTTTATCCTTAACAGTTTAAAAATGTCTCCTATTTTAATCATGTTACATAGTTTGCAAGGCATTTTGAATAATTGATTTCTTTCAGTCCTTATAATTCCACAAATTTTGTGGGTGTGGTGTCCTCATCTTAATTTTATTTAAAAACAGGAACAGAAAGAAGAAACATTTCAGATTCAGCCAATGAGAAAGTGACAGAATCAGGACTAGTTTCCAGTTGTTTTTCTACTGCGAAGAATGGCTTCACCATCCAGATCTATGCCATAAAATTACTTTGACATTTGGATATACATATGCCCAAATTTGTGGGAGAAATACCTATATAATTATTTTTCCCAAATTATGTTACCACAATGTTTCTTCTCTAAGTAGAATATTGCTATGAAAATATTTTCCTCTCTATTTAATTAATTTTATTTTTCAGACCCCATCACATTGGGGAATAGATTGCCCATATTGGGGAGATGAAGTTAAGACTGAGCTTACCACATAAAATCAGTGGTGAAGTCAAGATTAGAATTCAGAGCTCAGTATTAGAATTCAGAGCTGAAAGAGCTACTAATCATTTCTACTTACATCCAGAACAAGAAAAAAAAATCATAACTGGCAAATGTAATTCAACTTCACTCTAATAATGAGCAACTCTGTAAACATAATAAAACTGCATAAAATTAACACATTTGATATTGCCTCTTTAAAATCTAAATATAAAAATGTTAAAATAAGAAAAACTGACCAAGGGAGACATTAAAATTACCCTAAATCCATTAAATCAAAACTTCTCGAGGTGGGTCCTGGTCACTGGTAACTATAAACATCTCTCCAAGAGAATCTCATATGCAGCCTTGGTTGGGAAACATGGGGTGAAAGCAGAGGTGAGGCAGACGGAACTGAAGCCGGGCACAGCCACTGGACGTGGTCCCACCGAGAGCCGAAGATGGCAGTAAACATATATTCAACATCAGTCACCAATGATAACCTCAGTCGACATGACATTCTGGCCTGGATCAATGAGTCTCTGCAGCTGAATCTGACGAAGATCAAACAGTTGTATTCAGGGGCTGCCTACTGTCAGTTCATGGACATGCTGTTCCCTGGCTCCATTGCCTTGAAGAAAGTGAGATTCCGGGCTAAGATAGAACATGAATACATCCAGCACTTCAAAATACTACAAGCAGGTTTTAAGAGAATGGGTGTTGACAAAATAATTCCTGTGGACAAATGAGTAAAAGGAAAGTTTCAGGACAATTTTGAATTTGTTTAGTGGTTCAAGAAGTTTTTTGATGCAAACTATGATGGAAAAGACTATGACCCCGTAGCTGCCAGACAAGGTCAAGGGACTGCGGTGGCTCCCTGTCTTGTTGCTCTGGCTCTGAACAAACCGAGGAAACCTCTCAGCTCTAGCCGCGCAACTCCACAGAGGCCCATTGCAACACGCAGAACCACTGCAACCCCTGAGGCTGGCCCGGGTGGGGTGCGAAAGAATCCTGGTGTGGGCAACGGGGATGACGAAGCAGCTGAACTGATGCAGCAGGTCAACGTACTGAAATTTACCGTCGAAGACTTGGAGAAAGAGATTTCTACTTTGGAAAGCTAAGGAACATTGAATTGATTTACCAGGAGAACGAGAGGGAAAACAACCCGGTATTGCAGAGGATCGTGGACATTCTGTATGCCACAGATGAAGGCTTTGTGATACCTGATGAAGGGGGCCCATAGGAGGAACAAGAAGAGTATTAACAGCCTGGACCAGCAGAGCAACATCTGAATTCTTCACTCCAAATCATGTGCTTAGCTGTAAAATATCCCCTTTTATTATTCTTTGAGGACTCACTGGTTTCTTTTCATGAGCAAACAGTACCATTTAAGTGCACTTTGCAGAAGTTTCACCCCTTTCCCCATGAGTTTGAGTTAGGAGCTTTTACCCTGTAGCAGAGCAGGATTAACATCTAGTTGGGTCACCTAGGGCACAAAGAGGCTGACCATGGGGGGCTCACCGTGTGGACGCTGGTAACACTGAGTGCTGGAGAGGGTGTTTTTAGATACACTGAGGTGGAGACCTCAGCAGAGAAATGTAAAGACTGATTTGAATTTTAAGCTAATGTGAAATCTTGGCAGAGAACATTTTAATAAATAAACGCCTTAAGAGTAAAAGAAAGCAGAGATGAGCAAACTTTTTCTGTAAGGGGCCAGATAGTAAATAACTGAGGCTTTGCTGGTCATACAGTCTCTATCCCAACAGCTCAAATCTGCCATTGTTAATATGACAACAATCATAAGCAAGATGTAAAACAATGAATGTGGCTGCATTTCAATACAACTGTATTTGTGACACTGAAATTGAAATTTTATATAATGTTAATTTGTCTAAAATAGTACTTCTTAAAATTTTTTTTTCAACTATTAAAAAAAGAAAACTGTTATTATGGAATATACTAAAATGACTGGGTCATATTTGGCCCCTGGCCATGGTTGCCAACTTCTATTCCCTAGAAATCCAATTAACCACTCACCCTGTGTGTTTGGCTATATATACTCTAATTATGTATTTTATACTATTCTATTACATTCACTTGTCTTTATTCTCAGTGACCAGCATAATATGTGGAACTTGAAAGGTATAGCAAATAAATAAATAAATGAATGAGTGAATACATGAGCTATATCCATTCAACCAGAATTGCCCAAGAAATTATTTTGTGCCTTCTCAATCGATAAATGTTCATCATTTAAGTGGAGATTGTTGGCAGAATACCATTGTTTTTCACTTGACATATTTACTTGACAAATATGGTCTGTGTGGTTATAGGCATAGTCTTACAAACCAAGAGGAAAGCTATATTTACCTTTGCATGGTGTGGTCTTAGGACCTTTGTGTTGTTTACAACTTTTCAGACAAATACGGTTTTCTTTTTAAAAATTATATAAACTTACATATCTGTGAACCTTTCTTAGTGGGGGCTTTTTTGCTGGGTGCCTTGCCTTTTGGCAATTATAAGTGCCACATGTTGCCTCTTTGTGTTTTCTGTGTTTAGCTAGAGAGATTGCAGGCTGAAAATATCTCAGAGTGGGACAAGAGGGAAATACTTGAAACAGAGAAACAAGGACTGGAAAAAGAAAATAGAAGGCTAAAGGCTCAGGTGAAAGAAATGGAAGAGCTGCTGGATGGGAAAAACAGATTCAGTGCAAACTCTCAAAGTCCTGATTTCAAGACATCACAAATTGAACGGCAGGAAGAAAAAAAGGTATGGGTGCTCCTTGGAAGGGATGTTCTCACTATACATGCCCCCCTGATGCTTGGTCGGTGCTGCCTTCCCTTTTACCCACCTCCAAATCTGAGCATTTTCTTTTGTGCTATTTAACCTCTGATTGCTTGCTCTCTTTCTCATCATAAGGTAGAATAACATTGTTCATGAATGTGAACACAAGAGTTTAACAAATTTTGTATGAAAATGTTAGAATAGGACAAATCTGACAGTTTCAAGCTTTTCCAAAAGGAAGAAAAAAGTGAAGGGATGGACCTTTGTGTTGTTTCCTTTTATACTTTTGTCTGAGTATTTTTCAAGCAATTGATCTTATTTCTCAATAAGTAAATTTCTCCATTAGTTTGAACAGCTGTGGAATAAGCATTTGTCAGTAGTGATAGTATCTGCATAAACATTTCAGTTTAGCTGAAGTTTACTCTCCTCTGGTTCTTTTTTTAGTTTCAGAAAAATTATTGTTGAGTCAAATCATTGCATCATGTTGCAAATAGCTTTTACAGGCTATAACATAAATATTAAAGCTAGTATTAAATTCAACATCTGACTTTGAGAACTTCAGATTTTTGGAATTGTTTTATTCTAAGGCCAATAGACATTATTCCTGCTATAGATGGAATTTTTAAAAATAAATAGCTTTTAGATTTAAAAAATAATCTCTTAATGGCAGGTGCAATTTGCATGTTTTGGTGTCAACATGCTGCAAAACATTTACATCTTGTTTCTATTTCTTCCATTAAAGTACCTACAGCATCTTAATGCACAATTCTGTTATTTCACTCAGTCTCTTTAACAGTGAATTAAAAGTGAGTTTGATAAGTTCATATTTTTATTTTATTTTTTTAAACCTTTAGCTAAAATATTTTATTTTTTTTATTATTATGTTATGTTAATCACCATACATTACATCATTAATTTTTGATGTAGTGTTCCATGATTCATTGTTTGCATATAACACCCAGTGCTCCATGCAGAACGTGCACTCTTTAATAGCCATCACCAGGCTAACGCATCCTGCCACCCCCCTCCCCTCTAGAACCCTCAGTTTGTTTCTCAGAGTCTATCGTCTCTCATGGTTCGTCTCCCCCTCTGATTTCTCCCCCTTCATTCTTCCCCTCCTGCTATCTTCTTCTTTTTTTTTAACATATAATGTATTATTTGTTTCAGAGGTACAGATCTGTGATTCAACAGTCTTACACAATTTTTAGGTATATAAGTAGTTCATACTCATATAAGCTTATAACCTAAATGTCCAGAAAAATTGAATTCCATATCACTTTTTCTTATTCTTTGGGTTTCTAGGGATTAATTGCAAATGTCAGATTAAATTGCATTAGAATTCCGTAACTTGGCAGCGTAGATATCTAAAGTGAAATATTATAGTCAGTAATCATAATTTTTATTATATGTATTCAGAAACCAACCATAATAGTGTATTTGGTTCTGACATATACAACTGATAAATCTGTTTTTGTGCAGACTTCTACTTGTGAAAGTACAGAATTATTTCAATCATGAAACAAGTTTTGATCATCAAAATACCTGCTTGCGTTTGACTCACTTGAACCGAACAAGCCTTTATATAACACTCTGTGTCCATCACTGTTGTAGAAGCTGAGTGATGTGAAGATTAATGAATCATATCCCTGCCCAGCCTGGGCTTAAAGTCTATATAGGGAGGTAAACACATAAATTATTATCAGTAGTATATCATAATGATTGCTAATAAAATAGAATGGGAATACAGAGGAAACAATTAATTCTATTTCATTTTGATTCCTATCTAGTTACATCAAAATGTTATAATATAAAGTGTGTCAGTTAGGAAATATAAGGGTCGACTGGGAACTGATTGGAACTGGCATATATGTCAGTTGGCATGTCCTGTCAACAGGGCACAGAGTCCAGACCTGGGCTCTTTGGGACAAGTGCAGTTCTTCCGCGAAGAAATAAACAGAACTTGGAAACTGAAGATTCTGGAAGGTCTGACCAAAAAAGTGGGTGTGTTTATCAGTCAGAAAACTATTCCTTAAGTATATATTTTCTTGATGAGCAGGAAGAGGTGTTGATGATTCTTATGCTCTTCATTAAGAATTCAGACTCACTACCTGAACCAAAATAATTACTTATCATAGAGCAGCTGCAGGTCAGAATCCTTGGTGCCACAGAGATCCCCACTGGGATCAAGATTCAAATGTCCCCAAATGCCAAATGAACCAAGCTGCATATAAAACATGCCTAAGTCCAGAGAATACTGTGGATTTTATTATAACATGAAGTCAAATTGTAATTTTAACAATATTTTAATAAAAACTAATTTATATGTATATAAATTATGCATGTAAGTATCCTATAGGAGTATCATGTGTACATAGGTATGTAATTACCATATAGAAGCAGCATATATCTATGTGAATATAATTTCTATATATGAGTGACACTGGAAATAGGTGCTGACATGTGACAAAACAATAACCACTTAATTATCACTCTCTAAAAGAGGTGTAAAGTCTCTTATGTTATCTTTATATGTAATCACATTTAATAAGTGTCTGTGACAGACACAAAATTGCTTGCTATTCACAGAAATATACAAATCAATAAATTGTGTTAATTTGTTGAATTTTAACATTCTCTGTTCAATGAATTTTTTATAAATTCTTGCTTATACAAGAGGGGAAGAATTTCACCTATATATTTGAAATATATAGTGCTATATTTTGCATATATTTTTGCATTTTTTGGCTTTAGTATTATAGGGAATAAATTTTTAAAGAAAGTATCTTTTCATTTTAAATGGCACTATTGGGGCACGTGGGTGGCTCAGTTGGTTAAGCATCTACCTTTGGCTTAGGTCATAATCTCGGGGTCCTGGGATGGAGCCCCGCATCGGGCTGCCTGTGGAGTCTGCTTCTCCACCCGCACCTCCCCATCCCCATGCACACACTCTCTCTCTCTCAAATAAATAAAATCTTTTAAGAAAATAAAATAAGTTGTACTGTTAATTTAAAGACAAAGATTCTCCTTAACACGAATGATCTCATCACATGAATCTCCATCTTGTGGTTGTTTTTATGTCCTATGTTGAGAAGCTACATGTGCATCAAATCTTTTACAATTAAAAAAACCGAGCAGTACACCTGAACTCTTAATGAATAGACTGGAAAATTACTAATCAGTATGAACATTTGAGAGGTGGGGCCATGCCTACAAGAGACACAGAGAGAAGGAAGTATCAAGACAACTGGTAAATCATGTGATTAAGAAAAGAACATCTTTACAGGGCTTGGTGAAAAGAAAAAGAAAAAGGAAACTTTAAGGACTTCACGAATTCTAATCTCTTTCTGAGCTTTTGTTCCTTCCAGGAACTTTTAGGAGGACAGAGAGAAGAGGTGAGGAGAAGAGGAAAAGAGAAGACAAATGAGGGACAAAGAAGGGAAAAATGGTGTGTGCCCACTATAAAGTGAGAAGACATAACAAAATAACCACAATGGGAACAAACACATATAAGCTGATACTTATCAAAATATGTCCTGATTTTGCTGTAATGGAGAAAAGTAGGATTGTAATTCCCAACCATTTTCCTAAGTATGATTTCTATCCTATAAATGCTCATTTACTTTATTTACTTTATCAAAGTGAGACAGATTTTTGTACTTGGAAAGCCTCAGTTCTGCTGATATGCAGTATATGTATTCTCCATTCCAAATAATACTTCTTAAAGTGAAAGTTTATTGGAAAAAGGGGTCAGTATTCTACTGGGTAAAGCCCCACGAGCTAGTCAGCATGCCTCTCATGAAGTTTTTTGGAGACTTATTTTCTTAAATCATTCCGGCGACTGAATCCCTTCCTTCAGGTCACACTATGGGTCATTTTCAGAAAGTTAATGTGACAGAGTGGTAATTGATGTGTCTCAGGAAAATGATGAATTAATCTAAGAGTGGAAAGGCCATCAAAGTCAATTCCTAATGAATTGACTTTTCTGACAGTGTCCATTCCTTGAGTAGGAATGACATTATATTTATTTTGTTTAGTAACTTTACCCTCAGAGATATTTTCATTCAGAGGTTTCGCAGGCAAACCTATGGATTTGTTAACTTTTCCTCATTCACATTTCTCTTTCAAAATCTTTGCTCATAAAATTATTGAATAATTTAAGAAAAATAATATCTATTCTTAAACTGTTATAAAATAGTAATAATTTAAATATAGAATAACATAATTTGATGTTATTAGATAGGGTCCTTTCATGTTTTTCTTTAACTGTTCTTACATAGCTTTGCTTCCTGAGCTATAATAGAAATTTTAATTTTCAATATGGTGATCAGTAAAACTGTTTTTTATGGTAGAGAATTTTGGATATATGGCAGTTTTTAACCCTTTCATATGTGGAATATATTTTGTGTATAAAAATTAAAATAATTCATTTTGAAGATTGCCTTCCTTGTAGCAAAACACTAAGCTACACGTGGGTGTCTTTTATGAATTGATAATTTAGTTATTTCATAAAACTTAGAAATGCATCCATGATTTTGTATACATTTTAACAAAAGTCCATGGGATTGTGTGGGTTGAGCAGAACAGTGTTCTTTTCCCCAAGAATTTCTGAAGTTACCAGAGATAGACTCTTAAGTACTGTTTATGAATGTCATAAGGAGGTATCTACTGAAAGTTCCTACTGGATTGAAATAAGTCAGTTTACTACACAATAGGGTGACATTTTCTCTAATATGACTGCCCTCACTCATCCTTAAATACATGCATGCTGCACACACACACACATACGCATGCATACAACAAATTGATTTTTATAAATAAACTCTAAAATAGGGGTTTTATTTTTTCTCTGTTTTGTGATTCTCCACTGGAGAATAGGTACACAAGTAAGATTTTATATATATGAAGCCTCGTTTCTAGGAATATATTATCACTGGGTGGGATTTCACTTTTTCTTATAAAATACAAATGTTGTCATAGCTTATTAT